AAAATGTCTGGCCATCAGATGAAGTTTGGCCACCTCATTAAAAATGTCTGGCCATCAGATGAAGTTTGGCCACCTCAATGAAAATGTCTGGCCATCAGATGAAGTTTGGCCACTTCACAGAAAAGTCTGGCCATCAGATAAAGTTTGGCCACCTTAATGAAAATGTCTGGCCACTTCAGCTGGATCAACAAAGTTTACTGCCCCCCAAAACCAAAGTAATCGTTCACCATATCACTCTCTCATGTCGAAGAACACACTCAGTCCAAAATATCTTTTAAACTATTTCAAATCTCCTTCTATAAGAGTTCTCTTGAAATGCCAGCTGACAGTTAAAGAAATAATACGGCCCTGAGATAAGGGTATAAACATATGGATCAATTTATCATTTAAATAAAACTAGAGACATGGAAAACAAAGTAAGAGGTATGAGTGTATATGAATTGGTTTTTTTTTTCTTTTTACTTTCTCATTTGCGAATTATAGTGCAGGTATTGCAATCTAGCAAAAAATCGAAATCGAGATTTTCACCCTGAGTCGGAAAAACATAACTTTGCAATTTTGTCCGTATGTAGGTCTGTCTGTCTGTCTGTGTGGTTGTGTGTGTGTGTGTATTTATGTGAACACGATAATGTGAGTACCGCTACAGCTAGATTGATGAAATGTCGCATATAAGTATTATATCAAATGTGTAGTTTTAATTGATTTTTCAGCTATTTCCGATAACCGGAAGTGGAACTTATTCTACTCTTGGTTTTTCAAAAGCCTATAACGAGTAATGTTTCAGATAGATAAATGAAATTTCACATATAAGTAAAAGATCTAATTATCTGCGTTCTTTTAAATTTTGAGTAATTTCCGTTGACCGGAATTAGTTCTTTACGCTATTTCCGATTTTTCAAAAAAAAAGCATATGAATTTATAAAGCACTTTATAGACACATTGCTGTTCACTTGGTGCGCATTTTTTTTCTCTACGAGATTCTATTCTATTTTAAAAAGTTTAAGTATTTAAAATTGATTACAAATGTTTAAAAAAAATAACAATAGTGTCGAATCGGAAGTTTCGACAAACGGATCAGGAAATATTTAGAAGCTCTTTCGTTATACTGTTGGTCAATACAAAGGTTTTTTAATTCCATAAGTTTCTAGCTAAGGTTTGAACTTATCTTCTCTGAAATGCCAGCTGACTGCCACACAGAATCTAAGTTTAAACCATAACAATGTTTTTGAAAACATTATGCGGGAACGTTTTAGGGCTGAGTTGGAGAAAAACTCAGTCCCAACAGACGAGGCGTATGAGGGTGAAACCCGACTCGTGAAACTCTCAACACACAGCCGAACACTCACAGTCTCCGTGTGGTGGGGCGGGGTGGGACTGGGGGTGGGGGGGTGCAGGTCGTCACATTAACATGAAAACCATTGTTGAATAGTTGATTGGACTTGAATAATTGAATAAATTAACTTCTGTGAGGTTGTATTCGTCTTGCACTTTTGAATTAGCTGTGCGGTATATTCGAGGCCAATCCCTGTGCATAATGTATATCGAAAATATGTTGATGGTAGTGAATACTATAAATGGTATGTGGTAAGCGGGTGGTGGGGCGTTAGGAAATTTTTTGTGGGTTTTTTTAAAGGTAGGTTCTGGCCTACAAAATTCAGGGTGATTTCTGATGATAAGAGGCTAGTTGATACCTTCAGCCTGATGATAAGATAAACCAGGCTACCTTCTAATGATAAGATATACCAGTGGCTACCTTCTAATGATAAGATATACCAGTGGCTACCTTCTAATGATAAGTAGACCAATGACTACCTTCTGGCTATAATAAAGCTCTAGCTACGACAGTTTTTAACACGTTTTTCTTAACTCAGCTTCGCGTTTGTGGATTTGTTTGTTTGTTGTTAAAATTGACATCGAAAATTAGCCCACTTCTGATTGCTCTACAGATCTGAAATTTGGCATACAGGCTACTTTCGCCTAACAATTTCAGATGCAATCATAAAAACTAGCAATTAGAGACCGTAATTAGCTTAATTTAATTACGCCCCAAGGACCATAAAATTGAGGACATGATTTCTAAAGATACCGACAAGACTGGAGGCTTATTCACACAGTTACTTCGGCCCCAATCGATGTGAGCGCGCTGGCCGTGATCGTATAGTGGTTAGTACTTCGCGTTGTGGCCGCGACAACCCAGGTTCGAATCCTGGTCGCTCAAGATTTTTTAGTCCGTGTATTTATAAACACTTAGTCAAGTCATACTTAATCAAGTCATTAGATTAAGTAGAAAATAAACTATATAAAAAACTTTTTTAAAAACCACGTTTTTCATGTGTAGCAACGGACTAAAAAGGAGAAAATAAAATACTTAAAAAAAACTTTTTAAAAAACCACGTTTTTCTTGTGGACTAAAAAGTAGAAAATAAATTTTTCTTTTGTGCTTCCTCGAGCTGTGCAGGTTCTTGTGATGACTGACAAAAAACGTGGGTCGGGCAGATGGGTCGGGAAATTTGATGGTGAACGTACCCACGTTTTTTGTCAGTCATCACAAGAACCTGCACAGCTCGAGGAAGCACAAAAGAAAAATTTATTTTCTACTTTTTAGTCCACAAGAAAAACGTGGTTTTTTAAAAAGTTTTTTTAAGTATTTTATTATGGTAATGTAGGGCTACCCATAGAAAAACACCCGATAAAATTGCCCAACTCACCGTTTGATAGCAAGCGATACAGAGACCAAATCCCATGTCATGATCCACCATCATGTGATAGACAAGCTCAAAACTCACTACAAGTTCCCAGTGTAGTGTTAAACACATGTGTACCGAATGAAAGGAGAGAAGGAGCTTAAATAGCTTACTTGTGCTTACGTGTTTTGATATCGACATCAATAACTCATTCAAGAGAGGATTACCCCAACAAACGTATTTCCTATAAACGTATTATAAGCAGATTATCTTAGAAGAATTTTAGCTTAGGAGGCAGGCGCTATACTAGAGTTCATATATATATATATATATATATATATATATATATATATATATATATATATATATATATATATATATATATATATATATATATATATAATGTAGCCCCACCTTGTCGCGTGTCATACCGACCTCTTAATTAGATGACAGTTTTAACACAAACATAAATATTCCAAGAATGTGCAACTGATGCTGTTGTTGATGTATGCTACCAAATATATTGAAACTTTAAATATGGGTCTGTGCTTGTAGGAGGTGACGAGGTAGCGCTATATTTAACGACAGCATTACTATATGTGAGAACTTCAACAATAAGACATATTAAAAGTCCAGCAATGTGACAGATGACAACTTCCGCAATGTGATATTTGACAACTTCCGCAATATGATATTTGACAACGCCTGCAATATGATACTATGCACAGTGAATCAACGAAGTCAAACTGGCATGCATTCAATACAATAGCAGGCAGGCAGACTGGCAAAAACATGAGAGAAATACAAGACATCACGTCGTCAAGCGTGCTCTAATATGAGGTTAATCGTGCGGCGTCAAAACGGCCAATGACAAAACGGCCCCGTCAAAACGACCCCGACAAATCGGCCCCGACAAATCGGCCCCATCAAATTGACCCCGTCAAAAGGGCCAGCGACATATGGACCCCGTCATTTTGGCTCCCGACATATAGTCTCCCGTCATTTAGTTTTTTCCACAAAACGGCCCCCGTCATTACGACTCCCGACAAATAGGCTCCCGCCATTTAGTTTCTCCACAAAACGGCCCCCGTCATTAAGACTCCCGAAAAATAGGCTAGCGTCATTTAGGCTCACGACAAAAGGACCACTGACAATACCGTTTCTGTAGAGACTAAGTCTCCCGGCCAAGCGGTCTCATTGAATATGACACCTGCCAGTGGGACCCCTTCATCAATATACTTTAGAGTTAGCTTATCCAACACTCTTAAAGTAATACAACGTATGCATCTCTTGTTCGGCAGGCCTTATTTTTATATTAGTTTATCTATTATAAAATATAGTATGTTTTAATTTAAGGGTCATCTATCTATGACATCCATAATTGAGTCGGTTATAGGCTGTTCCAACTCAGTGTGTGGGGAGAGGGGTCCACGCTGTACCTTCCTACCTGCAGTATGCTTGTAGGTTATCAAAACAAAATGCTGTTATCATGTAAACATCATGTATATCGAACATTTACACTTCTGTGCTCGCTTTTAAGCAACAGATCTTTTCTGTTGTAAATTAAACATTATCAAAACTTTAGAATTGGTGGAATTTATCTGTTAAGGGCTCGATTTGTTTGTGAATTAATGTTGGTTCATGAAAAACAATTTCATTCGGGCATTTAAAAGAGTTTATAGTGGTATTGGAGGTAGGACAAAATGGTTACTTTTATGCCAATAGTGGTCATGCCATTCATTAGTCTGGAGCCAATATGTCGGGAGTCATTTTGTCAAAAGCCAATATGTCGGGAGCCCAATTGCCGGGAGCCAATATGTCGGGAGCCCATTTGTCGGGAACCCATTTGTCTTGAGCCCTTATGTCGGGAGCCAATATGTCGGGAGCCGCTTTGTCGGGAGCCAATATGTCCTGAGCCTATTTGTCAGGGGTTAATATCTCGGAAGTCCATTTGTCGGGAGCCTAAATATCGGGAGCCCATTTTTCGGGAGCCTATATGTCGCAAGTCAATATGACGGGAGCCCATTTGACGGGAGCCAATAAGTCGGGGCCCTTTTGACGGGGCTATTTTGTCGGGGGTCGATTTGACGGGGTTAAATTAACGGGGCCGTTTTGACGGGGCCGATTTGTCCCGGGCCGTTTTGACAGGGCACCGTGGTTAATCTTTAACATTTCACGAAAAATACCAAGTAAGATAACAGATCTTTGAAGATCTCAGATAGAATAAAAAGATCAATGATCCAGAGAGATCAATCATAGTTAGTGTATACACGACAATAGGAAACAAATAAAAAAGGAATGAAATGTAAACATTACCTGCACGGATGTTTTGATTACCTCGTTACCTTGTGCCGTACTGAATGCATAACTAATGCATATGGCGGGAGGTATTCCTATACAGTATGCAGGGGAGGTGATCCAATAGAAGGGAGGTAATCCAATATAGGGGAGGTAGTCGTATACAGGGGAGGTAATACAATCGAAGGGAGTTAGTCCTATGGAAGGTGATGCTAGTCCAACAAAATAAGAAGGTATTCTCGCACAATAAAATGGTAATCCCACATAATAAGATGGTACTCCTACTTTAGTCCTACACAGTGAGATGGTAGTCCTACTTTAGAAGCACACAATGAGATGGTAGTCCTACACAATGAGATGGTAGTTCTACACAATGAGATGGTAGTTCTACACAATGAGATGGTAGTCCTACACAATGAGATGGTAGTCCTACACAATGAGATGGTAGTTCTACACAATGAGATGGTAGTTCTACACAATGAGATGGTAGTTCTACACAATGAGATGGTAGTTCTACACAATGAGATGGTAGTCTTACACAATGAGATGGTAGTTCTACACAATGAGATGGTACTCCTACACAATGAGATGGTATCCTGTAGTCCTACACAATGAGATGGTACTCCTACACAATGAGATGGTACTCCTACACAATGAGATGGTATCCTGTAGTCCTACACAATGAGATGGTAGTCCTGTAGTCCTACACTGAGTGAAAGACGTCGAATGTTACCAAGAACAAGAGACCTGACAATGCTTCACCTGCCGAGTGGGACTTGTAAGGACGGAGGGAGGGGGTGGCATGGAGGGGGGACAGGCCAGGCTTTCACAGCCTGTCAGATGATGGACGACGACACGAAATGCCATCACTTACATGTCATCCAACATAGTCTCAGGTGTGTTGTCTTGGGTTTATTTTTAGACAATTTAGGCTTGAGACATACATACAGACACAAACACATTATATATATATATATATATATATATATATATATATATATATATATATATATATATATATATATATATATATATATATATATATGTATATATATATATATATATATATATATATATATATATGTGGGGCTGGGTGTGAGGATGTATGTGTGTGTGTTGGTTCGTGTATGCGTGCGTGTTTTGTTCTGTTTGGTGGGTTTGTGATTGTTTTCCGTGTGAGTGTATAATATCCAATCTATTTTTAATTAGCGCTACACTTGTTAACAAATAAAATGACCAAAATTGAAATAACCTGATGTATGGGCAACAAAAAGGTAGGTAGACCTACGTCTATCACATTTCTGACACTTTTATCACGAGAAGAGTTGGTCAATGCTACACTAGCAATAGCTGTCACAAACATGACTGAGTTAAGGCCCCTTGGAGTTAAAATAAAACTCTGCCAATGACCTAGAAATAGCTTGGTGTTAAAATTTATAGCGGGCGTAGGTTTTATTCAAGCGAGGTGTGGTCTATCAGTTATATAGGGGAGGTAGAGTCTGTCTGTTGTTACATATCGTGATTCTGTTATGTAGCGGAAGTAGAGTCAAGCGGCCACGACTCGGAGACAGAAAATTTTCATTTATTGCAGAAATGTTGCCGCCATTTGATTCAGGTTTTAGTGATAGCGAACTTTAGTCTGGTGGATTAAAAATTTTCGCAGATTTTAACTACATCACATGGTTTTTATTTGAAAAGGAGGATTCAATAAATTTAAAAATAGACGTAAATCAGATTTGTCCTACAACTATTTTATATCCAAGGTTTTCATTGGTCTCCAATCAACATGCTGAAGTAGAAAAATCTAGAAGTACTTGAATCCACAACTTCTAAAACAAAAATTGTCAGTTAAAGTTTGTTTCGGAAGAGTTCTGTAACATAGTTCCAAACTGAGTTATTATTTTAAATTCCTGTTTTTTAATGTGTGCGTTAATCATGAGAGGCGAAAGTTGAAAACAAAAAGCAAGACAGTATGAACGCGGCCCGCTGCAAACATCTTGTTTATATGTATGTGACTGACATCAGTATGTATGGTAATTTCACAAACAGCATCAGAATCAGGAAGTCGGTTAACAAAAACACCAAAAGGTAGTTTATTTATAGATGTATTCAGCTGAGCGAATCTTCTTCAGAAATCAAATCAGTTAAAGTCTGTTTGTGAGTTTGTGGCAAATGTTGTTACACAATTTTGACGTTTTTCTAATGCAGCGAATTCTTTTAAACTTTCCAGACACATTGTTTTTTGACACTGCAACATATGTCATATGGGTCCAGGACATTACCCCCGTCAATTAACACCGGTCATTCCCCCCCTCGTCAATTAACCTCGGACATTTCCCCCCATGAGTAATTACCCTGGGATATTTTACGGGGGGGGGGGGGCGTGATGCCCTGTTCCCACCTCATTTAAATTTAATTAAATATTAAATTATTAATTAATGTAAAGAATAAATAATAATAAAAGGGGAGATAACACAATTGATCTCAAGCGCCTACTAAAAAAGCCCATTTACAACCGTGAACTGTTTGTCACGGACGACTGGTTTCCACGGGCGTTAAGAAGGGGCAAGTAACTGTCTTTTAGAGACCGCTAGCTACTCATCGAGTTTTAAGACGATTATTTTTAGTCGTGTGTGGTGTCGAATTCATTAAGAACGCACTTTTTGAGATGAGAAAATAAAACAAATATAAAAATATAATATCTTATATATTTTAGCAACAAATGCTCTTATTAAAGAAAGATTCATGTTTCAATATCAGTGCTATTCAGTGCATTTAAAAGCTTAATATTGTAAATTAAAAAAAAATAATTTAAAATTGTAATAATGTGATAAATACTTAATAGTGTGATAAACGTGTTACATTCATTAAATAAACCGCGAACATAAATATTTCACAGTGAATTATACACGTGGAAACATTTCTGTAATCGATGAGGTTGGTGTGATGAGTGTGTTCGGTGAGACAGTTGTATGTACCGGAACTCGTGTCCCAATGAGGGGAGGGGAGGGGGGGTTGCTTCTGTTAATTAGCAGAGGGACCTTGAGAAAGTTGAATGAAACAAGTTTGTTGGCTGAAGAGGTTTTGGACGACCGGAAGATGGATGGGGGCGTGGCCCAGGTCAGTTTGTTTACGTCTGCCTGCTCAGTTGCATTATGGGAGGCTGACAGGATGAGGGTTGGGAACACAAGGTGTACAGAGACACAGTCGAGAGACACAGTCCAGAGACACAATCCAGAGACATAGTCCAGAGACATAGTCCAGAGACACAGTCCAGAGACACAGTCCAGAGACACAATCCAGAGACATAGTCCAGAGACATAGTCCAGAGACACAGTCCAGAGACACAGTCCAGAGACACAGTCCAGAGACACTCACGTTAGACACACAGTCCAGAGACACAGTCCAGAGACACAGTCCAGAGACACAGTCGAGAGACACAGTCGAGAGACACAGTCCAGAGACACAGTCCAGAGACACAGTCCAGAGACACTCACGTTAGACACACAGTCCAGAGACACAGTCCAGAGACACAGTCCAGAGACACAGTCCAGAGACACAGTCCAGAGACACAGTCCAGAGACACAGTCCAGAGACACTCACGTTAGACACACAGTACAGAGACACAGTACAGAGACACAGTACAGAGACACAGTCCAGAGACACAGTCCAGAGACACGTTAAAGACACAGTCCAGAGACACGTTAAAGACACACAGTCCTGAGATACACTAAAGACACACAGCCCAGAGACACATTAAAGACACAGTCCAGAGACACTCACACTAAAGCAACACAGAGTGACGTCACCTGTCGAACCACCCTCTGATGACTAGGTGGAGAGCAGAGCTTCACAAAGTTGGCGATACCTTAGACGTATTTTTTAAAACAATATCTATGTTTTGTATATACGGAATCATAGGCCTAACAATTGACACTGGAAACACCTAAGTTTGAAACAATGTCAAAGTCAGGGAATCAATCAGCTTAGAATACAAGCAGATAGCGGAGATCGAGGGTTCGGAACCCGGTCACGGCGTATTTGAAAGGGCGGTTGTCAGAAATAGTTTGAGAACCCGTGGTGTAGAAGTGTAGACCCAGAGGTTTGGGTCTGGTCAAGAAGCAGGGGCTTGATCCCACACAACAGGGGCTTGACCCTACACAGCAGGGGCTTGACCCCACACAGGCTTGACCCCACACAGGCTTGACCCCACACAGACTTGACCCCACACAGGCTTGACCCTACACAGCAGGGGCTTGACCCCACACAGGCTTGACCCCACACAGGCTTGACCCCACACAGGCTTGACCCCACACAACAGGGGCTTGACCCCACACAGGCTTGACCCCACACAGACTTGACCCCACACAGCACAGGCTTGACCCCACACAGGCTTGACCCCACACAGCAGGGGCTTGACACACAGCAGATAGTTTCTGGCTGACTGAGTCTGTTATTTAGGGGTCGTATGGGCTGCTGGGGTCGTGGGAACCATTGATTTAGCTTTAGGGACCGTAGTAACAACTGACCCCACGATGTTTACTTTAGAGCCTACATGGATATAGAATGAATTTTTTTCATTGCTGACTTGTTTAAAGTGAGGTTAGTCTTGAAAGCCTTGTTTGTTGCGTGTGGCTGGTCACGCATGATTTCCTCAAACAACCACACCTTTAAACGATCCGGTTCACTGGCTTAAAACGTTGATCCCCTGCGGCTGTGACAAGAAACACATTGTCCTGATTTCGTCAGGTAACCAGTCTTTGTTTTAATCCCATTGAAATCTTGGCACTTTGTTTTAATACCATTGAAATCTTGGCACTTTGTTTTAAGCTCTAGCTTTGTCCTCTGTCTAGCGACCAAGATCTAATTGACAGCTCATTTTATCTAGCGGATTTAAAGACTAGTCCCTATACGTACCCAATTATTTTTGGAACTTTTATTAGCTTCGCACTTAATAAATATAAAATATTTTTCTAAATTGTTATTTTATATACTTAATTCACTCCGTAAATGTCTCAATTATTGAAATTATTGCTTTCTATTCGGCATGGGTTAATCATTAATGAGTTTTGTTCAAGTGTGTTTACGGCTACATTTAAATGATAGTTGCAAGTGTTAACGGGTGTGTGTTGGGGTTAACTTAGAGATAGGGTAGGATCGGGGTTGGTTAGGTCGGCACATACCAATACTGTGGATAGCATCTATCGATATAATTGTATACATGCATCGATACTTTATGGCTATCACGTGTTTGTTGGTGTAGAGCGTTCGTCTGTAGCTAATACAGTTCAATTAACTAATCGAGTATCTCCTTTTGTAATGAATAATCTTGGAATTAATAAAAATGGCTCATTGAAAATGAAATGAGAGTGAAAACTATAATTTTTTGTGTTGTCATGGGATACGAATTAATCTGAAAAAAGAATGAAATCGCTGCATTAGAAGTGTGTCGACATCGATTTACAAAACTAGTCACTAACAGACAGGCAGGCAGACAAACAGTCAAGCACTAGACAGACAAACATG